TGACCAAATAAGAGCACATTATTATTTTTATGGGTATTCTAATTTAGCAGCGTTTAATTCTTCAAATGGAAAATATAAAATATCTACCTATAAAACCTTTGTGATCCAAATCACCACTTTGTTTTATTATTATGTAACTAGGGGATAAACTCATACTTCGCGTAAGATGTGTGTGCTAAATTTATTTGACTACTGAAACATTATTTAGAAAAAATATAAAAAATGATATAGACGGGATTAAATCCTCGCCCTTCAACATATGAAACGTATGCAGTACGGTACGAGCCAAAGATTTTTTCACATATGCAGCATTATTTTGTGTTAAGTAGAATACTATATACATATATTTGTGTTTGTGTGTGAAGGGAATTTGCTTTAAATAGATAAGTCCTTTAAATAGTACTATTGGTGTATTATGCAGTTGGACTTGAATGAAACAAAAGCGTACTAAGGAGAATACAGAGTTGTATTTGGATTTCAAGTAAATAAATGTAAAAACGTGGAATGACTATAAACGAAAGATATCTCTGTACAGAACATTCATTGTAGGAACACTATTCCTTTCTGGTTAATCACCATCTTTAACTAATCTCTTGAGTTTTTTTTTATCGAACTCTTGATAAAGTGACGTTATAAAATAGTGAATTTATAAATTAATGATATCAAAAAAATATTAAAATCAACAGTCTTTGTTTGTCGCTTTTTCATTTATTTTTCTCTTTCCTTCAATAATGGTATCACCTCTTTTTATTCTCCCCTAAAGTATTAACAAAGCTTCGGGTCCACTACCACTAATAACGGAAATGGTATAATATTTTATTTTCCTAGCAAGTAAACCCGTATTTAACATCAGACCTAATTGTAGATTTTTAGCTGCCTGTATTGGGATATTTGGAAACGTATAACAGTTATCAAAGTGATTTTATTAAATTGAGGTATTAAGAAGTATAAGAATCGTCTATCGACGTTACTATTTATGTCTTGTGTGTATATGTGTTTAAATCACATTTGTACATCAAGTGTGATTTATAATTATTTTCTTTCGGTGTAAAACATGCGAAATGAATGAAGTTGTGGTAGTGACCCTTAAGGCAAATTGCCGTAGATTATATATATAAGGTAAACTCGTGCTTCACTTACGAAGTGTATATAAACTTTAGGCCTAATTGTCGATCTTTAAGCGACTGTTGGAATTTGTATTGAGGTGTAATGGTATTGCGTTATTTATAAGGCACTGAAAGGTAGATAATTAACTTAAAGTGTTTCCTTACGTCGTAGTTTTGCACTTGTATAGAACAATGCTCATTAAACCTTCACTTTTGTACTCGTATGGTCGTAAAAGTACTACTGTACAATTAGCCAATAGAAGTATTGGGTTTTCATGTGAGCTAGCATGCATGGACTGACTGACACACATTGTTCTATTAAATAAATAGATGACGCATATTTACAGAGGTGTACTGTTGCTGGAGCTCAGCTCGACACTGAAATTATAGCTGAGTCCCGACACTTCAAAGACGAAAAATGCCTTTACAGTTTACACCCGAAATTAAATGTCTTTCATAACCATACTCTCAGAGAACACTCTAGTTAGTTGTAATCTCCCGTGCCTACCGATAGAGTTCCCTCAGACCGCCCATCACACACTCTGTCAGTCTCCCTCTGAAGCTGGCGTCAGGCACTGTACAACCGTTCCGGCTCAAAATCATGTGCTAGGGATGTTCAAATGGCGTAATGTGTTGTTAATACGTCACGTGATTATTAAGATATTCAAATATGACCAAAGCACTTAATAAAATACATTTTAAAAGGCTCACTATTTACATAATATATAACCAAGGCCCTTTTTTATTAGTTATTTGTGTTGACAGGACAGGAGTTGTGTAGAGTATTATAAAAGTCGAAATTGTTAATACTGTTTGCAGTTGTTTCTAAAGGAGAAGTTGAAGAAGACTAAAAGTATTGTATATACGATACCCAGTTTGTTTGTTTTTCTTAATAATACTGTTTCCTATTGTTGCTAAAGCAGTTGAAGAAGACTAAAAGTATTGTATATACGATACCCAGTTTGTTTGTTTTCTTAATAATACTGTTTCCTATTGTTGCTAAAGTATTGAAGAAGACTAAAAGTATTGTATATACGATACCCAGTTTGTTTGTTTTTCTTAATAATACTGTTTCCTATTGTTGCTAAAGCAGTTGAAGAAGACTAAAAGTATTGTATATACGATACCCAGTTTGTTTGTTTTCTTAAATAATACTGTTTCCTATTGTTGCTA